AGTTTCCTAGCCTGCAACTCTTAAAGGGAGTAGAAAGCCATTTCACCGTGGAACGGCCTGTGGGTTCGAACTGCAGATCTTTAGAGTTAGCAGCCTGATGTGTAACCACTGTGCCAACAGAGTTCTTTTTTTTTTCCTCAAAAAGGTAAGAAAGGACAACAATTCATGAAGCAGGAAAAGAAAATTATTAGATACAAGTGAGCATGAAGAGAGATGTTCAAACCTGAGAGCCTCTATGAAATTGATGTTAAGAAATTGATCTTCATGGGTGTGTCTTATATACAGGGAAATAATTGGTTAAAATGAAACCATGTGCCATGTAGCACCTGTGACTTGTTAAATTGAAATGCACGTTGAGTTAGACTTACATGGGAAAGAAAATGCATTAATGAGAAAATAGTGGGGTTCCAAGACCTGAAACAGATATTTGAATATTTGAAAAAAATAAGAATTTCAAATTATCACAATACACTGAGATCTCTTGCAAACAGACCCTCAGAAGACTATCAATATTAAAACAGGATACAAGAACTTACACAAACACATGCCTACATAAACACGCATGGTAATACTACATAGTTTATTATAATAATTGAAAAACACACCCAAATCTTATAACGATTTTTGTTTCTGATACTTTTCTGGACTACCAGTCAGCATATTCACACTCCTTGCTTGATTCGAAAGTCACAAACACATTCTACTGCAAATACAATGAAATGTACTCCGTTACTATGCTTGGGATCCTGCTATCGCCTCCCAGAAATTCAAAATTGTGTGCTGTTTTTTTCATCAGCTACAGCACTTAAGAGGGTGATGGGAAAGAAAAAAGAAATTTATAAATGTAAGTTGACTATGTCTGTGCTTCCTGTTCCTGATGGTGGCATATCAAACAAGACACAAATCCTATTACGGAATACATAAGAATATAATATATCAACCATTAGCAAAGTTATTGCATATACTTTTCCATATCCTATGTAGGGCATGTTTTACATCTTTGTTCCTCAAACTATAGATCAAAGGATTCAGCATGGGGATTACCAGGGTGTAAAATAAGGAAGCCACTTTATCACTGTCAAAGGAATGACTGGACTTGGGTTGCACATACATGAAGATTAAAGTCCCATAGAACACTACCACCACTGTCAGGTGGGATCCACAGGTGGAGAAGGCCTTGCGCCTGCCCTCAGCTGAGTTCATCCTGAGTATGGCTAGGAGAATGAGCAGGTAAGAAACAAGAACGACTAAAAGGGAGGAAATCAAATCAAAAGCTGCTAAGATGAGAATGATCATTTCAATTTCATGGGTGTTTGAGCAGAGCAAAGACAGCAAGGGGAGACTGTCACAATAGAAATGACTGACAACGTTGTAGCCACAGAAGGTTAAGTTAAAGACCTTTATAGTCACTAGAAGAGAAACAAATGTGCTGTAGAACTAGGGAATTGCCACCAGCACGTGACATACCCTTTGTGACATGATTACTGTCTAGAGCAGTGGGTTACAGATGGCCACATAGCGGTCGTAGGACATGGCAGACAGAATGAAAATTTCACTAACAATGAACAGGAGAAAAAAACCTAGTTGTATAGCACAAAAATAATAGGAGATTGTGTTTTGATTCACAAGAAAAGTGACTAGCATTTTGGGTCCCACAGTTGTTGAGTAACCAAGATCCGTGATAGCCAAGTGTCTGAGAAAAAAGTACATGGGCGTTTTCAGCTTAGAGTCCACCTTGGTCAGGATGATCATGCCCAAGTTGCCCACCATTGAAATCATGTAGATGACGAGGAAGAGCAAGAATAATGGAGCCTGCAGCTCAGGGCGGTCTGTGATTCCCATCAGAATGAATTCATTCAGCATTGTTAGATTGTGTTTATCCATCTAGGTCTATCAGGAAACCTATTCGAATAGAAACATTAGTATAGTCAATAGCTTTGATGCAGAAACATCTGGTATATTTTTAGTACAAATCCAGTATACTGATTGAATAAGTTAAATACAAGTATACAAATTGAATAAGATAAATCCAAACTTCTATTGACTGGTATTTGAAAGTAAATCTACTCTCCACAAATAAAGCATCTGAACATAGAAATAGAACAAAAAGAAAAGGGACAGAGGAAAAAAGGGATGCTAGAGATACCTGATTATTCATTATTTGGTCCTCAAACAATATATGTCAGTCTCTGAGACATTTTTTATCAAAGGTAGAAGGGCACTACCAATATCTAGTAGTGAAAGGCTTAGAATGCTGCTAAGCAATAACTATATACAGAGAAAGTCCTCACAATAACACATCTTCCATCCCTAATGTCAATAGGACTGGAATTAGCCATCTTTGATATATATCCAAATATAAATATTCATGTAGCTATATATGAATTTTATGAGTTGTTTTATGAAGCACTAATGAAAATGTAAAAGATTAAATGTAGGTATGTAGACTGAATATCCATTATATCATGGACTTAAAATTCATAATGAATATGTCAAGTACATTGTAAAAGTTTTAAAGCATTCCAAAAATTTGAAGAAACATTTAATATACTTACTGCTTGAAAATGTAGTCTTTTGAAAATCCCATGACACGGGCAATATATATTAAAACAGCATTCTCAGGAATTGAATACATGTGCGAACAAGAATTATACTGAGGATTGCTTGTCTTCACAAAGGAAAAAACCCAGGAGATAGACACATGCACATATAGTCTCTGGTAGACCTCTATTTGTGGGTTAAGAATAACATACTGAAATGTCTTAATACACATCAACCAAAGGATCACTTATTTCAGCATTGTTGGCAAACTAAATGAAGATTAATATTTCAATGGACTCATGTAATCGGAAATAATTCTCAAATATCAAGCACATGGTGTTTATTGTTGTTGTTGTTTTTTTTATGAAAAGAATACATTTCCTAAAAGGGATATATATGTATCCCAAGTATACTAATGTGTGTGTGTGTGTGTGTGTGTGTATGTGTGTGTATGTGTGTGTTCTTCTGGAGTGACTTAACTTTGATGTCAGGGATGTGATGATGGCTATTTGAATTGTATGTTTTCCTTGTAACTGCTTCAAATCTTACTCTGCACTATACGCCACTCCATAACTAAACTTGGTCCATTAAAATGCCAATAGTTTTTCCTCTAGTTCTTGAATGCTTCCTCCCCCACCACTATCATGATCCTAATTCTACCTTACAAATCTGACTAGACCAGAGAATGTTCACTGGTACAGATAGGAGCTGGAAACACAGGGAATCCAGGACAGATGAACTCACGATAAGTGATGAGAGTGGCAATGCTGGGAGGGTGAAGGGAAGGTGAGGGAGAAAGGGGCAACAGATTACAAGGATCTACATATAACCTCCTCCCTGGGGGGCAGACAGTGGAAAACTGGGTGAAGGGAGATGTCGGATGGTGTAAGATATGACAAGCTAATAATAATTTATAAATTTATCAAGGGTTCATGGGGCAGGGGGAGCAGGGAGGGAGGGGGGGAAATGATGAGCTGATGCCAAGGGCTCAAGTAGAAAGAAAATGTTTTGAGAATGATGATGGCAACATATGTATAAATGTGCTTGACACAATGGATGGATGTATGATTATGATAAGAGTTGTATGAACCCCCAATAAAATGATTTTTAAAAATTGCCAATCACTTGTATTACCTATCTTACACTTTGCTTAAAATATTCTTATATAACATTAATGTGAATTTCATTAAAATATGTCATTCAAACTAACAAACAAACCAAAAACACTCACTACTATTGAGTCAATGAAGACTCACAATGACCCTATGGAACTAAGTAGAATAAGTAGAATTGCTTCTGTGAATTTCCAAGACTGTAATTTTTGAAGAGTAGAAAGCTCCTTCTCCCTCAGAACAGCTGGTAGTTTTGAACTGCTGACCTTAAGGATCACAGCCCAATGCAGAACCACTGTGCCACCAGGCCTCCATTAGCTAACATATGTTTGCTAATTTTTTGTAACAAATTGCCTACTTTGTCCTGGAAGAATCTATGATGGTGAGAGGAAATTTGATCAATTTAAGATTAATAAGGACACAATCATTGTTTACACAGAATGAAATTTTACTAAAGAAAAATTCCATTTGGATAAAGGGTTCCTTTAGTTTAAAGAAAACAGTGAATTAAATCACTACTTGTTTAAGACCATAGAGACAAAATACATGGATGAGATAAACATGCGTAGATTCTGGATTTATATTAAATCCTTTCCCACATTAAGAAGCCATGCTAATTCTCTCTTATGTGATATATGCATACTACTAATGAAGAAAAATAAAAGTATATCTTTAATTAAAAATTAGTATAAGCATATAATTAATAAACCACAAAATTCAAACAAAAATACCAGAAAAGGTAGAAGCATGGTAGATTAAGGTAAAGTTATTAATAGTCTGAAATGAAACTGCTTACAATGCTGTCCCAATAGTTTCTTAATAAGAAATTATGATAGAAATAGAAAAATAAATGATTATGTTATTAAATTTTACAAATTTGAGAGGAGAAATTCATTATCCCATATATATTACACCAGCCTTGGTAGCATAGTGACTTACAGGTTGGACTGCTAACTTCAAAATCAGCAGTTCAAACTCACCATCCACTCCACAGAAGAAAGATGAGGCTATATCTGCCATAAATATATACTGTCTGGAAAACCCAAAGTGGGCAGTTCTACTCTGTCCAATAGGGTCAGACTGTAAGTCAAAATTGAGTCAATGACAGTTGGTTTGGTTTATTTATTTAATTTAAGTTGTGAGTTTCTGATCTCTACCTTGTCCTTGTGCACATTTATTGCTTGTGTCAGAAATAATTAATTGGGCATTAGTCGATACTATGATTAGGAAATTAAATATCTTTAATAAATCTAATAAAAGCAACATAAGTATTGTTTAGTTGTAAATGACAAAAGGCTGAATAATATTTAAGGAATAATCTGGAAAGTACTGATTTTCCTTAAAAGTGAGAAAAGATTAAAATATTTCTCTCATCAGCACTGGAGTTCTATAGAGAGCACAACATTATTTTTCATACTTTACTGATAATTTAACTCTTATTTTATAAATCTATACTCTTTATAAAAGGAATGAAAGAAAACACTAGAGAGATCCTGTTCATATGCAATATGAAATAGTAGACTGCACACAAAAATGATTTGAAATGCTAATACTTTGCAATTACTTTGCTACAGAATATTGACGGAAACTTTCTGAATACTGGCAAAATCTGGGAATAGTCTATCTTCTCACCTGTAATGAAGCCTCTGTCTTACCTCCCCCATTTGCTCATTACCATGGCTTATGGAGAATGATTTGTGGATTTTATTCACCCTTAGAGGTTCTCCTTGAGGAGATGAAAAACAATTTGTTAATCATCCCTGAAGTATTTGAAAACTTAACAAACTACCCTGGGGTATCTGTTAATGGACCAGGACAATTTGTATTCAAAATGAAAAAGATTCTATTAATGTATTATATATGCAGCTTTAGCTAGTTCATAAATAAAAGCTTATCTATTTTATACATTCTTATGTTTTAAACTTTGCTAAATTTCCACTTTTATCATACATGCATCTGTATTAAAACACTACATTTATAAACCAGGTTTATCAATATTTCAAATTTCTACAGCATTTAATAATGGATGACAAAATCAAGAAGTGATTAAATGTTTTCTTATTACATTGTTTCATATATTTATATGGAAATAAAAATAATGCACAGTGCATATTGAGTTATCATCTGCTGGTTTCTTGTTGACCGTGATGATAATTTTATTATTCAGAATTTTTTTTACCTATTGACTTCTTTTTTATTTCAAAGTGTTACTTCCTTGAGCATTGATTGTGAATCCAAGTAGAATGAAGTACTTGACAACTTCAATCATTTATCAGTTAATACTGATATTGTTTATTCGTCCAGTTGTTATCTACATATTGAATGCATATGTTGTATATATTTTTTGTATATTTATATGTAATACATTAAGAAGGCTGTTGTCTTCTGTCTTCATTTGTAATTGCTTCATGCAACCTTTCCTTTCAACAAACTCTATGATTCTGTGGGTTAAATAATACCCAGTTCATGATGGGTAGCTCAGGCCTCATGGTGACTTGGTGGCCAGTGGTGAGGCGTTCAGTCTCCACCAAGGCCCAGTAACATGCCAACAGCTGTTTGTCAAAGGGGGAGTAGTTGTCTACAAAGGATGGCAGGACTTTACTCCAATACCAAGCGTCTACACTGTGATTCGCCAATGGGGCCCTGCCAAAGTCTCCACACTGCACCATTGGGTCAGCTGGATCATCTGGTTCTAGAGGCAAAGCAGCTTGCACAGCAGATTGCACCTGTTGCACAGCTTTTTCTTGTTCTGGGCCCCACTCAAAATTGGAGGCCATTCATGTCATGTGATAAATAGGTCCCAAGTGAGGGATATGTTGCCTCCAAAATCCGAAGAGGCCCAGTAGGCATTGTGCCTCCTGTATAGGTTTTTGTTTGTTTTGGGGGATACAATAGCTTATTCTTCACTTTAAGAGGGATTTCTTAACATATCCCACACCACTGGACGATAGACATTTAATTGAGGTGGAGGGTACGTAAATCTTCATTTGGTTGATTTCCCAACCTCTTGCATGCAGATGTTGAACCAATGAATCTAGTCTTTGATACATCATTCTCAGTGGGTCCAATCAGCATAATGTCATCAATATAATGGACTAGTGTGACATTTTGAGCAAGACACAGGTGGCCAAGATCCCTGAGGACTAAATTATGGCACAAGGCAGAAGAGTTGATGTACTCCTGAGGAAGAGTGGTGAATGTATGTTGCTATCCCTGCCAGCTGAAGGCAAACTGCTTCTGGTGGTTC